TGCACAGCCAGCTCACAGCACCAGCACCAGCACCGGCACCCGGCACCCGGCACCAGCACCCAGCACCAGCAACCGTTAAAATTGCATTCTGTAGACCATTTTGACCTTAAAAGTGCCTTCTGTCGACAATTTTTGCCTTTAAAGCTATCTCCTGTAACACTCCTGTAGACAATTTTATCGTTAAATGTGTCTTTCGTAAACAATGTTGCTTTTGAATTGCCCTTAAAGTTGTCTTCTATAAACAATTTTGCGTGTAAAATTGTCTTCTGCAGGCAATTTTGCCTTTAAATCTGCGTTTTGTAAATCATTTTGCCTTTAAAATTGTCTTCTGTAGATAAGTTTGCCTTTAAAATTTTCGCTTCTGCGGACAATTGTGCCTCTAAAATTGCCTTCTATAGCAAACTTTGCACTTAAAATTGCATTATTTTTGCAATTTTGCTTTTTTACACCGATCTTCTATAAATACTTTTGCATAACACTTCCAAAGGGTAATTTTACCCTTTGGAAGGGTTGAAGCTTAGGGCGAATCCCCTTTTTGTTGTTGGGGAGAAGTTGTTGAACGTTGTTTGTAGGAGGGGGGTTGACTAGGGTGCCAACTGTGTTGGGGAACTCTAAACCCTAAACCTTACTAAACCCTAAACCCTACTAAACCCTAAACCCTACTGAACCCTAACTCCTACTAAACTTGACTAAGAAAATATGTGTTCACTTAAACAGCCATTTAGTAAAAACAAAAATCTATAGTTCAAACATTATTTATCTAGTTGTCTGTAATAGAAAACTCATTTATAATTTCAAATTGATTGTTATAGATTGAAATTCTACTTCTTTTTTTCAGGAAATTCTACTTCTTTTTTCAGCCGATGTCACATGCTTGAGGGAGGAATGTGACATCTCGACCTCAAGTCCTGCAAATCTTCACCTTGCAAGAACCCGCTCTCCACCAAGTAGGTTGCGCCAACCACCTGTATTGTAAGCCAAATCATTCATTCCATCAAGTTCCTGAAGAAGCCGCAAATTTGCTTTTTTGGCACCTGGAGTGAACGTGGAACATGCGGCATATGGCTTTCCATCTTTGCTGACCTTTTGCTCGATTTTTCCTTCTCGCCCATGCTTCTCGCACTCAGGGCATGGATCCCCATGAGGATAGGCCGCTGGACTGGCGCAGAACTTGGCCTTTTTCACCAAATGAGCATGGGGTGAGTTCTCCAGGTGCTTCTTGCACTCTGCCGCCTTGATGCCCTTGAGCGTGTGCAGTTCCGCCTTTTTGGCGGTTGCTTCCTCCTCCTTCTTGAGCGCAGCTGCCAGGTCTTTCATGGCATCGTTCCTCCCGGCTTTCTTCGCTTTTGCTTGATTGAGCCAGGCAGTCGCTTTTTCCACGCCCTCATGCGCACAGATCTGGTAGTAGGCGGGCTTCAAATCCGGCTCCACAAGAGACCACTTCTTGCCTAGACTGCACCCTGGTCGATGTGTCTTTCCTTGCGAACATCCGGTACACCCAAACACGGATTCCGCCAAGGCCACGCAGTGGGTGCAATCAAGTCCTCCTTCACAAAAGTTCTCCAGCAACCAGGCACCACGTGCACAGCCACCTCACAGCACCGGCACCCGGCACAGCACCAGCAACCTGTCTCCACCACGTGCACAGCCAGCTCACAGCACCAACACCAGCACCGGCACCCGGCAACCTGTTTCGAAAGCGTGCACGGGCAACTCATTGTTGTTTGAAGTAAGAACCCCATAGCACCAGCAACCTGTTTCGAAAGCGTGCACGGGCAACTCATTGTTGTTTGAAGTAAGAACCCCATAGCTTCGCTATCTGGGGAATAATAGAAAATTGTAAGAACATCTTGTTCGCAGGACGCCAAATGCTTCTGGAATCACACGGCAAAACGGGACACAACGGGACAAAACTGCCCATGCCGCGATCAGGAACAGTTGAGGGAGTCTTGGATGTATGTCTTGCATGCCTGGCCAAGTCACCTTCATTAAACGAAAAGGGGTCATCCACTGGGCTTGCCCATGAGAGACTGGCAGTATGGGATGCCGGACCATGATCAATGATCAATCCTGACTTGGAATGGGCTCTAATGAACGCTGCGTCAGGAACTTCTTCCCCAGCAATCTGAACAAACATCAACCCTCCCTATGGATCCACTGCCACCCTCTCAGAAGGTAATTGGACCTGGCGCCTACATAAATAGTCTCCCTGCTCACCGTACCGACCTGGTTCGGTGGCAGTGGATCCATAGGGCTTGATCACTTCAACTTGCACTCTCAAGCCACGTGGACCTGAGCGTGATACGCTCAGCTATCAATGCCACACCATGAAGCTGTTTTTGGAAGGGACATGCTCCGTTTTAGCTCCTGAAAGCTCCCTGTTTAAAAGGGGCAAACCGAACAGCCCCCGTGAGCTGCTCATTCGCTGTTCCCCGAACCGCACTCCCTGAAACTAACATGGAAGTGGATGGTATGGCCTCTTGGCAGACCATTTTCCCAATACCAAAAACGGGGGTTTTCCAATGTTTTCCACTTTCCTATTAGTTCCAGGGAGAGCACCCTTTGTTCTTCAACCCCGAAAGCACAAACGCGAACATGCATCAGCAAATCCAGCCAGCACAAAAAAAATACTGCACAGGCCATGAACTTCGGATTTGTTTGCCAGGAGGCTCCCAACCCTTCTGCTGACGCCTAGAGAATGCATCATAAAGGTTCCTTGACCCTGTTCCACGAAGGCAAACCAATTCTCATATAGAAAGATGATGAAAAAGGATAACATCTCCTGATAAGTTCAAATCCCCTTTCGTCCGGTGAGACACCTGCTCCGGCCGTTCCGACCCAGATTTCGGGGCAGACCTCGTCTCGGCGGTTGTCCCCAGCAAGGACCTCTCGTGACCGACATCGGGAGGCTTCGTGTTTGGCGCCGCGGTTGACCCATGAGGCAAACGCGGTTCAACTCAAAAACCATTGAAAAACATTGAAAAACTGCCATTGGCAACCCAAAAACTGGGTGGATTACACAGGTCTGTCAGGGTGATATGACTTTGCGAGGGAATTCTAGGAAGTTCTCAAGCAAACATCGTGCAAAAGAGATCACCGGCCCACTAAACCGCCTCACACAGCCCCTCGTACACACAGCACTAATTACATGATGTCAGAAACTGTTATTATACACTTAGAAACTCTCCAACAAAAAGAGAGACTCACCATGACTCACCTTAGAACATCCAGCCAAATCACCTCCGACTCCTCTCTGAAAACACCAATCCCACCACCCCAGAACCCCGGCGCGGGAAATACAGCACCCTGCGAACCCCCCCCCCACGCGCCTCACAGGAACCCGGAGCGCCCAGGAGACGCAAACCTTCTCGGAGGCCTGACCGTGTAACTAACGGCGGAAGGAGTGGGCTTTTCGGGCTGAAGGAACAAACTAACAGTAACTAACACCGAACACTTCCTAGCTGTTTCATCATTTTTATCAGTCAAGAGTCAAACGACGTCTGTTTCCCGCGCCCAAAAAGAAAAGCGTCGGGAGCTTTCCCCTGCGTGAACGCGACAAACGCCACGAAGGTAGTTCTACATTCCGCTCCTCAGGATCATGCTGTCTTCTGAATGGATGATCCCATCACCCCTGAACTCCAGGGGGCCAGCTCTGACGCTTCGCGCACGTGTGCGGAAGGTGTCCCTCTTCCGTGTGCGGTTTTCCACGCACCGACGCCGGCAGCCCCCGGTCGCTCCGGGCCCGCCTTCCAGCGCGTGAGGGTTCCACTCGCACGCGAAGACGTGCTCAGCCTGAGTTCGAGAGGCGACGCCCGTCTCGCTGACGCCCAGGTGACCGGCGACGCCCAGGTGACGTGTCACAGACCTCCGTGGGTCAAACCCATGACCTCCAGTGGAGCGAACACAAAGAGTGGAAATGGTCAGAGCAGTGCGTTCCTCAAAGAAACATGTTATATAACATATGTTAACTAGCATTCACACCCAGCTGAAGGTGTTTCTCTGTTCTTCTCTGGGACAAATTTGAGAAATAGAAAGTACATAAAGCAGCAGCTTGTGCCACCACCAGTCTGACCATCACGTCACCAGTGACTTGGCCTTCAACTTCTGGGAAACACAAGGCTGGCCGCCGCCTGGCTGCTGATTTGAAGTTCTTGGCAGCGATTTCCTTTTGGGAAGAATCAGCTGCGAATCCACGGAACTCCAGGCTCCAGCGCCTCCGGCGCCCTGACCACCGGCGGAGGACTGAGGCTCCAGGCACCAGCGGCCAACAAGGGAAGAGTCCAAAAACCAATACCTGCCGCTGGGGTCACGTGACCAGCAGTGAAGGGTGATATGGCCAGATGGTCGAAGCAGGGTGTCCCACGTTTGTTGTACATTTATTTCAGCAGGTAAGGGAAGGATCAGAATGAGGCAAGCGGCAAGCTGCTCTTGGAGGAACTTTAAGTGAGAGTGGCATGGTTTCAACAAGCAAGTTTCAACCCAATGCAGATTCATGGCAGTGCAAGTGAATCTGGTGGTTTTTACTTCCAGTGGAAGTTGACACTGGAACTCAGGTCAACTCAGGTCCATGACATGCGAGAAATGCCACCGGAACATGCGTATGGCAGTCTCTGACTGCGCCGGCCACGGTGGTGGTCGCATTGCTTTAATCTTCTTCCGCCCTCCTCCACGTCCATCACCCTCGATTGCGACGCGCCCAGCTGGAGCACCTGCGTACATGTCCAGAATGGTTTCGCCCTGGACTGGCCAAGCTGCGACGCGTTCTTTCTCGGCTGCCTGAGAGGCGTAGGCCGCGGTTGATCGCAACACCTGCTATCAGATGCGACCGGGTGGACAGTCAGCGGGTTTCTAGTCCAAATTGGTTTGAGAACCTCTAAGGGGCTGCTATGAAATAAAGGAAGCTAGTGTCATTGCCTGGCTGCCTAGCTGACTTTAAAGCGCAACTGTTTGGACCAGAATCATGAAAACGATGCGTCCGGAGACATCCACCGCCAAGCTTTCTGCAGCCAGGGCCCCACACGTTGCCCTCGGAGAACATACATTTCGTGATGTCCTCGGTGCGTGGAACGAGAAACGGCCACTGCCAACCTTTCGCGGCCGTTTCAAGCAGTGTAAACACTGCCTGAGATCCATCAACCTTCCTAGCTGCTAGGGTATCAGAACTCCGAGGACCTCCTCCAAAGTCCACCGCTGCCTGATGTCACGCTCACAACGGGTTTTGCATGACTGTTACCTCTTCCGCGGCTCAAAAAACAATCCCAACGTCCCTCGCATCTTCCCCCCTCTTCCACCCGATCCCTAGCCCCGCCATAGCCCTGGCCCGGCAAGGAACAAAGCTGTAGCGGACGCCGCGGGGCCCTGGCCTCAGGAGACGAGGACGATTTTGGACGTCGGAAGGCTCCTTGGGCTCCGTGCAGCCAGCACAAAAGCCGGGGAATCCAAACACCGCCCCACATGAGACCTTGAAAAAGCACTCTGAGTGCCCGACACCACGACCCAGGGGCTACCGCTGCCTGCTAAAACCTGATGAGGACGTCGGTTCTCGTCGCACTTCGCCCGTTCCATGGTGCTCTGGTTGACCAAAAGCGTGCCCCGTGCCCCTTCCAGTCCGGTGGATTCGCGAAAATGAACGACCCGAAGGCTCGGGAAACGAACAAATCCAGCATTGCTTCCCATATTGGTACTATCTTAATGGAAGGACATGGAAGGACGTTTCGAAGAAAGGGCTGTTGCCCATGACTTGTTGTTGGGTAAAAGGATAACTGTAGCCCAAAGGTTGCAGAAGGAGTTATATAGTCATTCCGCATCCTTAGTAGCAATTGGCTAGTATGAAATTAGTTATCATATGTAGAATTCCATAGAACGCTTGTCCCTCATTTCCTATATCAACCAATCTACCAGCCAGCAACTTGGCTGAACTCCATGGCGTCGTTTCTTCCCAGCTCCTTCCGGTTCACCGAGGGCACCGCGCCGCGCACCGAGCCGCGCACCAACCAATCCACCGCGCCTGGACATTTCCTCCACGCACCTCATCGTCGACACGGATCTCCTCCGATTCGTTCCAAATCTCTTGACTTCGTACCCGTTCTGTTTTTGTTTAATCTTGATGCCTGATGTCCTCCTAGACACGACCCACCAAAAAAAACCGGCACACCTACCACCCCCGAGCCATTTCATCTTCCCCTGATACCCAGTGTGTTCTCAGCAAAGGACAAAACTGCACATGGACCAAATCTACTCAACTCCCAACCTCCAGGCTTGGACACCAGAGGTCAAACTTGCCCTTTTTCTTGCCCAAACCAAAAGGCAACCGAAGAAGTAACGACTCTTCATAAATCCACCTCCCTAGTTGAACAAATATCTCAATCTCCATACGGGACATATACTGTGACGTGTTTATCCCAAACGCTCGTTGAAACAATAATGCCGATGCAGAAGGACCCGTGTTGAAACATCAGTTGAAACATGACCCTTTGATATGCATGCAGAGGCTTTACATGGAGAGTGTTGTTTAATTTCTTTAATGATAAAATCAACCGGGGACATGCATTTACAACAAACAAAAAGCTGGACCAGGGTGGTTTCACCCGGAAAACACCGTTTCAACAAGTTGGTCGTGACGTCCTGTTGCCGTGCCAGCAGGCGAGCGCCCAAGGCATCCCGCATGGATTCCCACCTAGATGGAAGACGCTGGTGGAAGGGCAAGAAGAAGCAACTGAGGTCGGTTGGTTCTTTCTTTGTTGTTTGGGTTGTTCAATCCCAATGCATTGAGTCCAAAAAATCCATGAAACCATGATGAATTGTTGATGCTCAGAACATCATTGTTGACATTGTGCCTGTACAAAGAGCGAATTGCATGTAAAGGAACAACCATGGAACAACAATCATGGTTCGTAGAATCCTGGCTGGTCATTATATATATGGTTCCTCTTGCTCCGTCTCTGTTGTGGCTTGCTTGGACACCCTCTGTCGTTCTTGCGCGTGCACGAAAGAAGCTTCCAGACTAAGAATACCGACAGGCCAGCGGGAAGCGCCTGGCCAAGTCAAACCACAGCGGTTGGTGTGTTGTTTCCTTTGGGCAGGGGTTGTGAGACTATGCATGGGTCCCGATCGCAAGAAGCACTGAACATTTTGCTGACAAGTTGGCCCTTAGACTTGGCGGTACCAAAAGGTTCATGGACGAAACAAACCATGGAAAGCACACAAAGGATAATGCTGGTGCAAACAAAAAGCAATAATTCAATTGTTTTCAGGTGCCGGCTGGATCAATTCTTCAAGGAATCAAACCATGAGGAGAGCTCAGAGTGGACTTTGCAGAAACTGCTGCCTGCCCCTCCAAAGCAACGGTGATCCAATGTGTCCTGTTCTATAGGGAGATAATACACACCCTACTCAGCGGCGGCTGCTTGTTCTTCGCTTGCCGCCATCGAGTTCAATGACCCAGTTTCTGCGCCAAAATGATGAACTCCTCATTCAAGTGATGTGAGGTCAATCAAGCCAATGCACCTTTTGCCCACATGGTGCGCCTCACCCGACCGGTTCTGCCTTCAGGTCGGCCAAGGCATCCCACTCGGAGCCTGTAACGACGCAAGCGGTGTTGCTTTGATCGAGGGTCGTGCAGGAGCCAAGGTGCTACACGAAGCACGGAACCCAGGTGGTGAACACGTCGCCTTGCTTTGACTGGTTGGTGGACCAGAAAATGGGAACAGCACCAAGGTCGACCAAGGTGCTGATGCCCATGACATGTCATCAACCATGGTCAAATTGATGCATTTAATAGCCATATCCACCACAAAGATCCACAAAGTAATGTCCATATGATACCTATGACTTATCATGCATGCAGCATAATTAAGCATATATCCCAGTGGTTGCTTTGAGGATGTAACTCGTTGCGTGCTTGTCTCATTTTTCCCCAATAGCCATGCTATGGGGTCTTGCAAAACTAATAGGCGGACGGGCGCCGTCGGGTCACCGTCAGAGCTGGTGGGCGGATGGTGTCCCGGTCATGTTTTGATGGCGTCCGGGTCATGTGATGCTGGTGTCCCGGTCATGTTTTGATGGTGCCCCGATCATGTTTTGATTGTGACCCAGTCATGTTGTGATGGTGTCCCGGTCCTGTTTTGATGGTGTCCCGGTCATGTTGTGATGGTGTGCCGGTCATGTTGTGATGGTGTCCCGGGCATGTTTTGATGGTGTCCCGGTCGTGTTGTGACGGTGTCCCGGTCATGTTTTGATGGTGTCCCGATCATGTGATGGTGGCGCGGTCATGTTGTGATGGTGTCCCGATCATGTTTTTATTGTGTCCCAGTCATGTTGTGATGATGTCCCGGTCCTGTTTTGATGGTGTCCCGGTCATGTTTTGATGGTGTCCCGGTCATGTTGTGATGGTGTCCCGGTCATGTTTTGATGGTGTCCCGGTCGTGTTGTGACGGTGTCCCGGTCATGTGATGGTGTCCCGGTCCTGTTGTGATGGTGTCCTGGTCATGTTTTGGCGGTGTGCCGGTTATGTTTTGATGGTGTCCGGGTCATGTGACGGTGTCCCGGTCATGTTGTGATGGTGTCCTGGTCATCTTGTGATGGTATTCCCATCATGTCATGTTGGTGTCCCGGTCACCTTGTGATGGTGTCCCGGTCATGTTGTGATTGTGTCCCAGTCATGTTGTGACGGTGTCCCGGTCATGTTTTGATGGTGTCCCGATCATGTGAGTGTGGCGCGGTCATGTTGTGATGGTGTCCCGGTCCTGTTTTGATGGTGTCCCGGTCATGTTTTGATGGTGTCCCGGTCATGTTGTGATGGTGTCCCGGTCATGTTTTGATGGTGTCCCGGTCGTGTTGTGACGGTGTCCCGGTCATGTTTTGATGGTGTCCCGGTCCTGTTGTGATGGTGTCCTGGTCATGTTTTGGCGGTGTGCCGGTTATGTTTTGATGGTGTCCGGGTCATGTGACGGTGTCCCGGTCATGTTGTGATGGTGTCCTGGTCATCTTGGGATGGTTTTCCCGTCATGTCATGTTGGTGTCCCGGTCACCTTGTGATGGTGTCCCGGTCATGTTGTGATTGTGTCCCAGTCATGTTGTGACGGTGTCCCAGTCATGTTGTGATGGTGTCTCGCTCATGTTGTGACGGTGTCCCGGTCATGTTTTGATGGTGTCCCGGTCATGTTGTGATGGTGTCCTGGTCATGTTTTGGCGGTGTGCCGGTTATGTTTTGATGGTGTCCGGGTCATGTGACGGTGTCCCGGTAATGTTGTGATAGTGTCCCGGTCATGTTGTGATGGTGTCCCCGTCATGTCATGCTGGTGTCCCGGTCACCTTGTGATGGTGTCCTGGTTATGTTGTGATGGTGTCCCAATCACGTCGTGACGGTGTCTCGTTCATGTTTTGATGGTGCCCTGGTCATGTTGTGATAGTGTCCCGGTCATGTTGTGATGGTGTCCCCGTCATGTCATGCTGGTTTCCCGGTCACCTTGTGATGGTGTCCCGGTTATGTTGTGATGGTGTCCCAATCATGTTGTGACGGTGTCTCGGTCATGTTTTGATGGTGCCCTGGTCATTTTGTGACGGTGTCCCGGTTATGTGATGATGGTGTCCAAGGAAGAGATGGTCGATGTGTTGAAAACAGCAGCTGTTTCCAGATTTTTCTTTTTGCCCCGGTTTGTATCTTGCTATTGGGGTCTCCAGCTGGGCTAATTTGTATATGCAACTGTTTTGCTTTCTCTCAGAAAATGACATCAAACTCTCCCTCAGAGCCTCCACATGGTCACCCCAGAGTAAGTGCCTTCTGGCAGAACATTATGTATACTATATATGTAATTGTACATGTAATTGTGATACATGTAAATAAACATTGGAGAAGGGCAAAAGGACCTTCTGAGTTTCTCCTACTGATGGACAAGAAGGTCGTAAGCAAAAGACCCCCCATGGCACCTGAAAACCACTGGGTTCGTGGAGGAAGCTCGTCTTCTAAAGGTCCTTTGTTCAGCTTCCATCTTAATCGTGCGTATATCACCGTATATACTTCAATGCCTTCAAACTACCTCAGTTTGAATGGCCCCACACGTCCTCGTTTCACCGTTGGAACCGTGGGAAAACCTTCCAAACTCCTCGAGTTCCGCACGCTTCCGACGGGCCGGAGGTCTCCCGTCGCCCCTCCAGTCGTTCCGTCTCGGCCTAAGGCGCCGCCCCGCGGCAGCAGTGCCACGTCGCCGCCTGGGCGATGCGGGCGCTCGGCCCAGTGGGCGGGCGAGGCGGGGCGCGGGGAGTTGGAAGGGTGGTGAAGGTCGAAGGGTCAACCACTTGGTGAATGGAGAGCCAATGATCTGAGAGCCTCAGTCTTAGTAGGGCCATGGATAGGCCGTAGTTACATGGAGTTTGTATAGAGTTTTTGTGGTTCTTACTAGGCGAGGAGTGACTGTATGCATGGGGGGTTGATGGGCGCGCTATGCTGCGATGCGCTGGCACATGCTATCCACCCTTGGTTGGTCGGACGGCTCCGGCCGAGCGCCATCAACAACAACGAGCCCAAAGTGCACTCCCAAACGGTCTTTCAAGGAGAATGAACATGCAAATCCCATCACACACCATCTTGTTCAGGAACGATTGCTGTTGTGGCGCCTCCAAGGCCCTGCAAGGTATTTGGAGGTTCCAGGACGGTCCCAGTACTGAACGGGATCGGCATCCGGGCGCCACTGCACCACGACCGAGCGCGCCTGGCTTGTGAGACCACAGGAAGAAGGAGAATAAACATCGAAGGGTGTGGAAACATATACGGTGGATTGAGAGTAGATGGCACAATCACCAAAAGGTGGTTTAACTGGTGTTTTATATGGATCCCCATCATCTAAAAGACATCTTGGGGTGACAGTGCCATCTACTCTGAAACCACTGTATGTCCCAGTTGAGAAGATTCCCCTATCCCAACCCTGCTGCCACAGTTCAGACTTGTGGATGGCTCCTTGGACCAGTCACCTCTGCTCCACTTACACCTTTCGTGTGGCACACAAAACCTCTGCCCCAAGGATCCAAGACATTCATTGTTGGAGATTCACCCAGTTCCTTGGTTGTCCTGTTCGATACACGTCATAGCGGCAACAAATCATGGGTCATACAGTCATACGCACGAATGAACACAACAACTGAACACCATCAGAATTCTTTGCAAACAATTCCTTTGGGATTCCCTTATTTCGTCAACCATCTGGTCTTTAGATGCCCTTCTTTCGTCACACCGGGCCAGGCTTGGCTCGATCCATCGTCCCGTCCCTCCTCTGCGAGCATCTTCTCGCTCACCTGCGGCGGAAGAGCGGCCGACCGGCCGAGAAAGGCCGCTTTGGTGTGGAGCAGCGGCCGACCCAAACCGGCCCCCTTCATGTTGGGTCGTACGGACGGACGTACGAAGATGGGCAACGTCTCACGCATCAGTTGGATGGGAGTCCTCATGTTTAATAAAGGTCAACACACACAGAGAGAGCAAAGAGTCAGTTGAGGAAGAAAGGTTGACTATTGACTAGTCCTCTTTGTTTCTTTTGGCTACCAGAGTCGCCAAGAAGCCAAGAAGTCCGACTCAGCAAATTCATCCTGACCGGGGGCACTCACAAGGACCCCATTGTGAGACTCTGACTGGTCTTTCTTCTCTCAATGTTGGAAGGCCATCTACTGGGAACCCACATGCTGAGAGACTCTGGCTGCGGGATTTGAGTGCTCCTCCGGCCCCTTGGGCGATGCAAAGTGCGTAGCTAAAGGCACAAGTGGGAAGCTCGCTCGACAGGAAACTGGTCGTCCCATGTCCTCTCTCAGGCTCGGCACCACATGGTCAGGTGGTGCATCCCACCATCTATATCTCCGTTTATCAGGGACTGGCCCGGGACTGGCTGCCGACCCAAATACCCAAGGCCACGGTTTTACAAAAGCATGCCCATACCAAGCCCGTTCTACACTCCAAGTGGCCAAGCTTTGCTGCTTCTCCAGGGGGAGAGGCTTCAAGAGGTTGAGGATGACCTGCAAAAAGGTCGGGTCCAACTGCTCTGGAGACGAAGTGATATCTGAGTTTTGGTGATGATCGAACGTGACCTCGACTGGTGAAGGTGCCGGGTTTCAATTCGACACATGAAGCACAACATGATCTAATAAATGTAGTTATGCCCAATACTACCCCAATAGATCTCCGTATCAACCTGTATCCCATGTTTGTGACCACCGATCAATCACATCAACCATGTATGTTAAATGGCGGCAACTTGATTATGTTAATCACATGCTGCTCAATGGTGCCAATCCGTGCACAGACAATGGACGATGATGTTTCTTGCTTCCCTCGCCTCTTCAAGGTTGACGCCCTTCCCCTCAGCAGCGCAACAAGTGGCATACACATGATATTTCCTTAGAAGGTAGTTTCTTAGTAATTAGTTTCCTCACAAGCAAAGCCCAACTGAGGTGCGACTGGTCCAAATCATCTGGCAGTCAATTCTAAGGGATGAGCATTTGGTCACTCAAACCCAAACCAGGTACTTCCCAGCCACGAAACATGCCACGTTGGACAGCAGGTCTACTTCCATGCTGCTTTCATGGAGTCCCCTGGCTGATCTTAGGTGGTCCAGGATGCCTGAACATCTCTTACTGTTGATGACCCCCCCCTGCGAGATGCCCCAGATCCCAACCTTAAAGGAAGGCAATGGACATCTTGATACTCGGAAGTATGACCAAACCAGGAAAGCAAGTAGCACACGTAACACACAACCACTCTCACTAAGTCACTTCCATATATAGTTCTTCAACCAAGAGGTCGTGAAGGCCTGGCCATCCGAAGCCCTTGGCTTCCGGGCGTGTGAGGCGTCGGTGTGGGACGCCCTGGCGGAAGACTTCTTTGGGTTCGCTTCCGCGAAGTCCGAACTCCGGTGAGCCAAGGAAAGGAGAACATACGACCAGAGCGAAAAGGACCTCAGGCGACCAAAGCTCAGCTCACTGATGGTGCCATCATGGCTTGTCATCCGATGAATAGATCCAACTTGGCAGGGCCGAGGGGTGAAACCAACAGGGCCGAGCAGTGCCGAGCAAAGCAGTTAGTATAGGTGTATGTGACTGTATGTGTAGGTTTTGTTGCACAACCCATACCAACTTGACCACTGTCAGGATGGTCAAGAAAAAGAAACTGGCTTGCCACCCTCAACAAGAGATTTAAATCCGCGACAGGTGATGTGCACAGCCCTTAAGATGCACGCGTCACATGGGTATTTTGGCAGCTAGTGTATCAGTAGCTGTTCTCACCTGTGTGGGTGGGCATAAAGAGATGTTTCGCAAAACCAAATAACAGTAACCATTTCTTGAAAAAAGAACTTGGACTGAAGACTCAGTGGGTCTCCATGCCTCTCCATGCACTTCTTTTTCAGGTGTGTCCGAGTGTACCTTCAGAGTTCTGAGGACCCCGGAGTTCTGGACCCATGAACATGCCATGACAAACCTTTCTCCCCGCAAGTTGTCGGATCCAATGAGCCAGTGAGCCGGTGAGCCAGCAATGCTTTTTGGGGGAACCTGGAGATATGCTGAGATGGCTTGCTTGACAGGCTTCACTTGCCCGGGCATTGACTGGGCGTCAAAAGGCCTAACTTTAGCGAACTCCTTTGCGACACTGTCCGACCAGGCCGACTGCCTTCACCAAACAGTCTGTGAATTTGCATTGCTACTACTTGCATTCAGTGCGCACACTTATACCACCAAAAACTAAAGCTCAGAAACAGTCTCGCTCCTACCTTGCTCAACCTCATTGCTAGAGCCCAGTATTTACCAATTCAAACGCGGCCCAGGCAAGCTGCTAACGCTGCCAACGTTGTGGCCTCACGACCCCCAGGGCCACCCCCAAGGCCATCGCTTCCGGTCATCCCAAATGGGCGTCCGGACGGCTTGGCTTTGCCTGGAAGCCTAAGGCGCAGGTTGGAGGTGTCCTGGCCCTCGTGGGAGCCAATGGAACAAGTAGTGGTTCCAACCATCGTGCCCCTCCGGGACAGTCCGAGACCTCAGAATACAAAACAAAATAAACTCCAACCACAGTGTCAATGATACAATAGTTTTTAGATGTGTTTAGAGAGAATTGATATAGGTTTCGGTTTCTTTCTCCCTGGACTTCTTTCCTCCCTCTTTGGTCATCCACCCTGCGGAGTCCCAGTGGTACCGAAGCTTACTACCAACATATATGTATATAAGAAGTTCATCAAGCAAGCGGTTCAATGAGACATGTTTCAGGGGTGGGGACTAGGTCGTGCCCTTTGGGTCATACGTTCTAATTATAGATCACAAGAATGGTTTTGGATTCGGAATCATTAAGAGGGTGTCTTTTGGAATTCAAGTGTAGGGCTCATCAGCCTTTCACTGCTTTCACTTGGCCACCGTCCGGGTCCATGGCCTTGCTGCCCAGTCGCTCAGCGCGCGTCAAGCTCAACGCCCCAGTCTGCCACAAGGCCTTCGGCGCTGCACGAGGTGCCGATCAACGTGGGGTTCCTTCGGACCCGCGAGCTCTGGATGAAGGCAAGAAATAAGCAACACAAGCAAGTTTCGGTTTACTCTGTTCCAACAAAAAGAGCTTGATAACTGCGCGCATAATATCGTCAATAGTCATATACGAAGTAAAGTTGGTGAACTGCCTTAGTCGGATTTAGTCGGCATTTTAAACTCGAAGACACGTCATACGTACAATAACATGGAAAACAGCTTCAAGCTCCTTCTGTGGCAAGTTGCCTGCGGGTACTACCATCAAACAAGACATCTACTGAAGGCAAATGAAAGTACCAACGAGGAATCCATCGAAATCTTTGGGCAGCAAATTGGGTTGCGAGGACACATTTGTAAAGCAAAAGCAAGATACATACATACATCTATGTGCATTACTTTCTCTTTTAAACAATATATATACACATGACTCTGTCTGTCATTTTTTTGGAAGGTCTATGGCCTATGGTGGGAGAACATGCATCCCAATGCGTCCAAACATGCGGTGTCCCTTTATCACTGCCCCTCGCCAGTATGATGTACAAACCAGAAGCTGCGCCTGCACTCGGACCTCCCGTGGTGCATCAATTCGGAGGAGCACTCTTCTCAAGATGGTGCCAGGAACCTGTCTCTGGTCCATGCACCAAACTCGGCTTTGAGAAATCAAACAGCTGATGAAAATGCCGTGGATCTTCACCGAACAACTTTGCTTGACAAAGGTGAACCCCTCATCCAACATTGGAGCGGGTGCGATTCGCCTTAATGGTCTTTGTTGCCAGGGCGTCTGCGATCTTCAGCACTTCGGGTGCTACATCCTTCAGATCTTCCAAGGCGCACCTGCACTGAGATATGTCGAATGAATTCATTGAGCCAGCCTTGCCGGGAATCTGGGCAATGAATGCTGGCACGACCTTCAGCACGTCAGGAGCGACATCCTTCAATTGTGCTGATGCCCATAAGCAGTTGGACAAGT